CCCTTCCCTTCCCTTCCCTTCCCCATAATTTATATTGCATAATGCCGAATCTTGGAATTCCCTCCACAAACACACACAGACACACACACTGGGTCCTGTAATGTGAATGGCTCCAAGGCCAGCATGCAAATGTATGCAAATGAAATGAGATATGGCAGCAGAGCCATATTTCATCTTTTGCTGTCCCCCCCGAGCCCCCTGGCACAGAGGGGAAGACCTTGGGCAGGCTGATGCTGGAAGGGGGCTGGATGGCCGGAGCAGCCCAGCCTGTCCACCACAAGCCCAGCCATGTGGCAGACCTGGACACAATTCCTGAGCTGCACAGCAGGTGCTCCCCTTGGAAAAAATTGCTTCACAGTTTGGAATCCCTGATCCCTGCGCTCTGGTGGAGCTCTGGGCAGGAGGAGGGGGGCACAGCGTGGGTGACACACCTCCCCACGCCGCTCTGAGCAGCTGCTCAGACCTGGATGTTGTGAATAAGTGACTTTATGTGCTTGATGTTAACTACTGAGTGCCAGTGCAAACTGCTCTGGCCCTCCCCAGATCCCTCTGGTTCCAGTAGGTGCTGTTTTCCTTCTACTCAGCAGGATGGATTTAGACTCTTCTCAGCAATTTTTGCTGGAGTTGCTTTTTTGTTAGCCAAAGCTGTTATTTATTACACAAGTGCTCTACCCTCTGCCCCTGCCTTTTGCATAGAGCCTGAGAGCTCTAGGGAAAGGAATAAGATGATGGTTTTTTAATTTATTTTTGCTCTTTACTTTGGTTGCAGCTCTTCAGGTGCAAGCTTCAGCACAGTGGTAGAGACTTCTCCATTCAGTGTGTCGAACACTTGGTGCTCTTAATATGCCACATTTCCAGTGCTACCCATTGACAAGCTGTGCTTTATTAATGAATTAATCAGGATCTTGCACTGGAGATAGGGTGCCAGAAATCTGAGTGCCTCTTCCACCTCTAAGTGCATTCATATAAAACTCAGTGTGCAGAAATAAATCTGAATTAGTTTTACTCTTGAAAGTAAAGAAAAAAAATTTCAAAATTCCATTTGTGGTTTTGGGTTTTTCCCCCCCTAAATTGTATTGATCTTTAAAACTCAGTGAGTAAATAGACTCCTGTTCATTACATCATGTTTGAAATGCCATAATATTTGAACTCACACAAATATATTTGAAGTTCACCATTCAAAAAGTTATTTATCTGTATAGGCAGCAAGAGTGCTCCCCAAGCTCAGTGCCTGGAGCCCAGAGCAAAGCTGCTTGACAAGCTGTACAGGAGGGAAGGCTGGTTTACAGCCCAGGAAGGCTTGCAGCCTGGGTCTGAAATGCAGGAGAACAGCTGGAGACAGAGCACCGTGGCAATAGTGCACCAGAGCTGGTGACAGCACTCCGGTGGCTGGGCTGCTGCCACCTTTTTCACAAGGATCATTGAAACAGGAAATTATAAGGAGAAGACTAATAAGATAAATGTCTGTATTTCAATTTTGTTGTTATTATATTTATATATATAATATACACTGCCTGTGTAGCTCAGGCAGTGAACCTTGCTAAGTAATGTTTGCCTTTGGACAATACCAAGCCTACTTGAACCAGAACATCCCTGTCAGATACTCAGTTGGTTAAAAAAGACCCCAAGGAGATTTCTCCTCATCTGAGAATTATGCCAGCCATTATTTCATGGTCATCAGGGTTACCAGCCCCTGCCTTGTTTCTCATTTTACTTTTGCTTAGCTTTAGCTTTCTGCCTTTTAATGCCCTTTTCTGCAAGATTTAATCTAGGAGAAGGCTCTTCCCCATGTAGCAACTTGCAGGCTATGACAAGGTTGTGGAAAAACTTCCCTTGGAAAAAGTAAGTAGATGGAGTTTCATTAGTCATTCATTACAAAGGATGTTTTCCAGACCTGAAATCATTCTTATAGCTCTTTGCTGAACACTTTCCAATTTTCCAACATCCCTTCTAATATGTGGACATGAGCCCTGGAATCAATGCTGTAGTAAGGAGCTAAAGCTGAATACCAGGGCATTCATTTATAACACATCTCCTTATTCCCACATCTACAACTCTCACAGCCAGCTACATGGGTACTTGTAACCTTTTGGAGAAGGGAAAAAAACCAGCAAAAAAGATCTATTTTCATTTCATCAGTTGGAAAAATACAGTTTTGCTTTCAGATGTATATGTTGAGACAAATCCCTTGCTGTTTAAGCCATAATAATATTCTTAAATCCTTAAGACAAAATTGTTACAGTAGTAAAAGAGGCTTTGATGAAGCCTTCATTTAAGAGTGTTTGCTTGCCAACTCTTATGATTTTTTAATGCTGGTGTTAGACTTTTTTGAAGAGTCTTCAGCTCTCAGTAATCTCAGCAATTAGTTACATATGAAAACTGGTTACAAAGAGAATTCTGTCCTTCCTTGAAAACACCTTTACTGTGTGCTAGACTCAAAAAAAAATTGAAGAGCAAACAAGTAAATGAAGATAATTCTTATCTATGTGATCATCATAGGACTTTTGCAACCATGTTGTGATTGCATACGAGTAAATCATGACAATTGAGTGATAGTTTCAAGTGTTCCTCACTGAAACATCAGGTCCCAGCCTGGATGTGTTGTGTACACAGAACTCCCAGGGATTTCAGCAAGGGCTGGAAGAGCTGTGGGAGGGAACAACAGGGTGACAGATGGCTGCATGTGTTACTTTTCCAGGTTAAATGTCAGCATGTAAATAGAGCAATTAAGTATTTTTTTCAGCGGGCTTCAAAATAAGCAAGCAGGTAAGGCAAGCAGATAAAAAGTTATCCTTTTCTAACTCTCCAAACAAAATTGTTAATTTTTGACAATGTGAAATTGTGAGGGGTGGTTTAGTTATGATTTCTAAAATATTTGGCTCATATCCGAAAGGAAAGAAAATGCTTTGCTAGTACAACTGCAATTGTGGTAGCTGCAGGAATAATTGCATTTTAAGAGATTATTTCTATTATTATTATCATTAATTGCAGCAGTGCAATTGTTTTAGAAGTCCCTCTCCTTCAGAAATTCCAGCAGAGCAGTGCTGGCGTGGCCGTGGCTGCTGCAGTTCTCCGTGTTAAATGTTTGTCGTGCTTTGATTGCAGGCCAGCTGTGATGGCAAATTGCTTATTTGCTATCAGCTCTGACCAATTCCTCACAGCTGCCTGTGGCAGCCCTGCTTTAGATGCACATTAAACATTAACTGCTGACCTGGTGCGGGGCAGGTGCAAGAAACAAGGTGGAGCAGCGATAGGATTTCTTCCTCTCCTGCAAAATACGTGACTGTGGGGCTGTTTGTGTCGCTGTGTGCAAACCTCAGGAGGCTGCTCCACTGATTAATTTACAAAGCCAGCCCCAAGTAATCTTAGACCTGTGTCTTCTCTGTATCACAGACTAGCTCAGTGTGTGCTGTTATCAGAATATTGCCTCACAAGGCCATACCACAAATAAGGATTGCAGACACTAAGGAGGATTAATGAGTTGTTGCCAAGTTAAAAATTAAGTAGCAGTTACAAATGACCTGAACTGTGGTGAGTGCTCCACACTAGAATCGTATAATGGTTTGGTCATAAGGAACTTTAGAGATCACCTAAATCCAGCACCTTCCACTAGACCTGGTTACTCAAAGCCCCATTCACTCTGTCCTTGAACACTTCCAGGGATGGGGCATAGGTGAGCATACCTGTAAATAAAGTTTTTAAAAAGTCTGAGGGTGAACATGAAGGTACCTGTCAAGTATTTTGTATTCCATTTCTGTATTGGGAATAGAACCAAGCAGAGCTAGACTTGAGAGTGAAGCAGCTGCAGAAGTGCATTTCCCTGCTAAAATGCTCTCCTTGGTGTAACATTCAAGTTCAGGTGATTCTTTGCTGTTATGCTGCAGTAGCTGATCAGCTATTTGCACATAAAAGGAAAACCCTGCCCACTCTCTCCCTGGGCATCAAAGATGTCAGTAGAGCTAATGCCTGAATCAACAAATCCAGCTGTGCATATCCCAAGAGTGCTTTTAAGAGGAGGGCTTTTGAAATGAGCAGAAATGGGTCCATGATGTCAAAGAGCAGAGTGGCAGAACAGCTCCAGCCCTGCTGTGGGCCCGGGGAGGGCGGATTCAGCAGGTGACCTGTGTGGTTGCTTTGTAGCCAAATTAATCCTGCTGTGCACAGGGCTTGGATAATGAATAATTGAAGGTAGAGCTGCTCCTCACTTGATCCTGCGAGTCTCGGTCTCTGATGGTGCCTATCAAAGGCAGCTGGATGGTTACTGAGGCTGCAGGGCAATGCTGGGAGGCAGCAGATCTTTCCAGCAGGGTTTGCTGGTGCTGGCCAGGGCTCTGTGCACACAGAGCCTGGGGCTTGTGTCAGACTGCTCCGTGGGGTCCAGTGTTCTGCTGGATCACTGCCATATAGCCTGGCAGAGCCTTAGCAGAGAGCGCTCCTGCGTTGCCCAGCTGTCTCCCTCTGCCACGAGGATTGCATTGCTTTAAGACAAGAAAAAGAGAAAGCAAGCTGTTGGCTGGCTCGGCTGAATTTGAATCTAAAGGCAGGTTCACTTCAGAGGGGCTGGCTCTGGAGACAGGCTCCTCACAGGTGATCATTCCCTTGCTCCGGGATTTCATCAGCTATCTGCCAGAAAAGAACGTCACCTGTCACCCACAGAAATACTGGGACATCTTTTATTGTCTAAAATTTCCTAAGGTTTTTACTGCAACAGTTAGGCAGATAGTTCCCTATTGGACTTTTTCCACTGTCACTGTCTCATCACCATGAAGCTCCCACCATTATTTCTGAAAAGAATGGTGAGCTAGTGACAGCTTATGCCATTGACACTGTCAAATAAAAAATCAAATCTTCACCTTTTTTCTCCACAGGCTGACTTAAACTGCAACATCCAAGATGATACAGGAGCGTTTTATGGAGTCACCAGTCAGTATGAGAGCTCAGAAAACATGACAATCACCTGTTCCACCAAAGTCTGCTCGTTTGGAAAGCAAGTAGTAGAAAAAGTAGAGGTGGGTGTTGTGATGGGATGTGTGCCTTTAGTCATGTCTTACCTTTCCCATGCACAGACGTGTGGGGTGTGCTCAGGTCTCTGGTTGGTTTGCTGCACAGTGATACTGCACCTGGGGACTAAGCTCCAGACCCACATCTGCCATGTACAAAACAGTTTTGGGGGAGGAATTTTAGCCTAGAGCTGAAGGTTGAGACTTTACAGATGTCCTAGTCACTGTTTATGTCCTTCTTAAACTAAGTATGTTTTCTGACCGTAACAAGAAAAGGTTTTCATAATTTCTATTATTCCAAACCTAGAGAAAACCAAAAATCCTGAGAAACCACCATCTGAGCAATTGGTAGCTGGGCAGCAGAAGTCCAAGAGTCACAGCATTACGCTCCCTCAGCAATCTAAGTCAGTCTGGTCTGCTTCCAGCTGTAGTCCTACATCTTTCTGTAATTCATAAATTGCCTATTAAGTCATGCAATAATATATCTATGTTTGTATGTGCGCACTTAAATGTAAATATATAAGCATATTTTTGCTGTTCCCTTTGCAGACAGGTGCCTCAAAACTCCTGTAAAGTCATCTTATCACAGTTTCTAGCTTAATTAATTTCTACTCAGTCTGGGACTTCATAATCCTCATCTAGTCAGATTTTTAATTTGCATGTTAGAGAACAAGTAGTGATTTTATAATTTTTGATAATTAAGATCCCTTGCATTTTTAGCAAGGCAGGGAGTCAGCAATGAGGTGCATGTATGTGTGTCTGAGCCACTTTCTTTTTCCTGTCTACACAACAATAAAAGAGAAAAAACAGATTTACCAGCCACATCTTTTCTGTGTCTGAATTATCATGTTCTGAATGGTTTTAATTTTTTTTTAGACTGAATATGCAAGGTTTGAGAATGGCCGGTTTGTGTACAGGATAAACCGCTCTCCGATGTGTGAATACATGATCAACTTCATACACAAGCTGAAGCATTTACCAGAGAAATACATGATGAACAGCGTCTTGGAAAACTTCACAATTTTATTGGTATGGACTGGCTTTTTGCTTTTTCCATTTCTGAGATACTCTCAGGCTTTGTGTGGCTTGCTCAGCTTGTAATGTTGGAAACCAGTTTCCAAATCCCTTAGTCATTGTTGCTTACCAAACAAGCCATCCCACTGACTTCAGAATAATTCTCCTGGCACTGGGCGCTGTAGACGCTCAGGATGAAAAGGCTCAGCTGGCTGAGAGTGTGAACAAACATCTTTGTTATTTTCCACAAATTTCAGCTTGCTTCTCCGTTTTTTCCATTCAAGTCTGGGGTTTGTAGAGAGCCTGAGGCAGTAACTTTGAACCATCGTGTTCACCTGATGTGTCCTTACCGGCGCTCGGTTGCAGCTCCGCGGATGCTAGTGGCATTAATTAGTTCTTGGGCATGGAAAACAGGCAGCAAACACCCAACAGGTGACCTAAAGCACAGAGAAGGAGCCACGTGGTGGCCTTTGAGCCAGTTTCATCCAGTGACCCAGCTTGCTTTCCCTGTTGCTCTGCGGTGTCACCTCAGCCAAGCTCTCAGAGCCACATGCCGCTGCTGCCAGGGGATTCGGGCAGGGCCGAGATAACACGGGTCATGTGGGAATCCAGGGCATCCTTCTGGCTGCCCTGGAAGGTCTGGGACCCTGGCAGGGGTCAGGAACCCCCCTGGACAGAGCCCCCAGAGACACTGGCTGTGATCTCTGGCCATGGAAAAGAGTTTTCAATCTTACAGCATGAATTACAAGCTCTGAGTGTTTGATATCAGTAATAATGAAGTGTGGCACAGGTGCAAAAGTAAAATTTTAGGATTCTAGATGAGGGGTCCAAAGGGGACAAGATGGAGGAAATTGGGTGTGCCTTGTCCTTTTTCCCCTTCTTCATGCCCTCCATGTTTCACTGTGGTGTTGGCATTTTTCTGTTGGTTCAGGCTGGGGACACACTGTCCAACGTAGGTGACAGATATTGGCACGTTATTGTAAATCCAGCCCAGGGAGTTTCTGGTATTTAATGTTTGTCACATCCCACTGAGGGCAGAGCCCCACACGCTGCCCTGCAGGACAGAGCTGGGCAGGGCAGCAGAACATGTTAGAGATAAACAGAATAAACAACCTTGGAACTAGCACAGACCAATTATGGCTTCTGCTTTGGCAGTGGGGCTGAAAGACAGAGACTTTCTACAATCTCAGAATCATCAATACCTCAGATTCCGACAGGGTCACTTCATGTTTCAGCCCTGCTGTTTCCAGGTGTCTGATGTTCTGTCTGCCTCTTCCTTTCCCCTCACAGGTGGTAACAAACAGGGATACACAAGAAACCCTGCTCTGCATGGCTTGTGTGTTCGAAGTGTCCAACAGCGAACATGGAGCACAGCACCACATCTACAGGCTTGTAAAGGACTGAGCAGTTATTTATATATACACTTCATTTCACTTCTTTATCAAAACACAGACTGTAAACCTCAACACTAAGTGGCAGTGCCTCTGGCCCAACTTTCACCCACATTTTTCTAAATCCTGTTTTAGTGAAGTCATTTTTAATGTGTTCATATATAATTGTAGCTGTGAAATTCTGGTACAGTTGTAAAAATTATTTCTAAAACTAAGTGTTCTTCAAATTTGTAAACCACAGTTCTTTGGGAAGACTGTATTTAAGAACCTAATGCCTCTGTCTGTGGAGGCCTATTTTTAATTCTGATAGAAAAATGTATGACAGAGCATTTGCCATGGGGAAAAACTGACAGCATTTATAAGAATTTATTTTGGGTTTTTTTTCCAACATGAAATACTTGTTTTACAATGCAAGTGGAATTGAAATGAATCTTTAGCTATAACTGTAAATGAGTACACAAAGTTAATAATCTTTATAGAATTATCTTTGTAACTAATTAGGGTGGAAGATATGGACGAATGTAATTCACTAAATTATTTTTTAAAATGAAACATTTTTCTGTTTGAAACCAAATGAAAAATATAGCCTTAAGAAATGCCTGATAGAAACAGACAGGTCTTAAAATTAGGCAAATTTTGTATTTTTTTCTCAACGCTAAAACTAATCTTCTAATCCATTAAACTTTCAAACAGGTATTGCAGAGAAAGAAAACATCACCCCTTACCCCTAACATATCTAGTGTATTTTAAAAGAGTATAAAGTTGTATTGTACTAATATGAAAATTTGATTATTTAATGAAAAAGATGGCTCATTTTGCAATAAGTAGGTAAATACTGAAGATTTAGACTTGCATTATATGTAGTCTTGTGTGCAAGGTTATATTTTATACGGACAACTATGTTTTCTAATAAGTTGAGCAAAAAACTTGCAACTCTGAAGTCAAGAGATGAACGGAAACAACTGACATTGCGACAGCATCGTTCGCAAACAGAGAGCAAAACACTGATGTGTTTGTAAGAAGAGTGTGTACACCTCTGAAAGGATCAGCAGCTTTAATATCTGTAAGACGCTAGAAAATCACAACCAACATCAGGCAAAGAAGATTGGAAAGTGGAGAATTTTATTTTTTTTTCTCCTTTTCCTCTTAATCACGGTGCTCTTACCCCTCTCCCAGTTGTCTCTCCGGGTCTGACAAAGACCTTATCTGAAACAAACACACGCCTGCCACATGGGGTCTGCTGTCCTCTTGGAAAGTGTTCATCCCAGTGGCAGTGTTCATCCTTCTGATAAATTCAGGGAAGACTCCAGGAAGTGAAGCACAGCTGGAGATGTTTGGGTCCTGCCAGGCTTCACACCACTCCGCGGGTGTGAGCGGCTGTCGGGGTCTGCGCCCGTGAGAGCAGCGGTGTCACCCCTCCCGCGCAGGACAGAGGTGCTGCTCAGCTCCTCTCCCCCTGCTGCCCCTCGTTGCCCCAGCAGAAGTTGTTTGGGAAGGTGCTGGGCCAGCAGAGGCTTCTCGGGCAAAAAACATTTGTCTGAAAGGCTGAGGGCTGCCTGACCAAGCACATGCCACCTTAGGGATCAGCAATGAGTTATCAGCAAAGAGGGTTCTTAGCAGAGTCTCAAAGGTGAGGTTTAGCAGGACCCTCCTCCCTACCCCTTACGATTCATTCCTGTGACCAGCACAGTTCCCATGCACCATGTAAGCACCAAATTTCCTCCCAGGACCACTGCCATAGTCTTCAAACAAGCAACTCTAATCCTTTTCTTTAAATTATAATCCTTTCTGTTAGAATTGCCCACTGTTGAAATGCCTGGACCAGACTAGAGCCTAGGTGAGGTAGTGGGTCTCAGACCAGGACCATCCCTAACGCTGGTGAGGTTTTGGGTTTGAGGAGGATGCAAACATCACCGAGGGGAAGGGAGGCTGCTTTAATCCCCCAGCCTGATCCGACTGCATGAGGTGGATGGTTTGGATGGCTGCTGTGATGCCTAGCCGTTACCTGCTTGTGGATATTAGGGCTGATGATCTTTCAGTTGATACTCTGCGAAGTGAACAGAGAAACATGTCCATGGCAAGGTCTCTTTTAGCGCTCATTTTTAACACTAACAATCACATCAGGAAAAGCACTGCATTGTAACAGCCTAACGGTAGCCCTTTATTCTAAGCACTTGGTGTTACAAGTCAAAAACTACTTTTTGGTTTTTGTTCTAAAGTTGTCTTTTATTTAGGGTTTGAATTGTGGGTTTGGTGATTTTTTTTTTTTTAATAACAAGCAAATTCTTTAAGGCATATAAAGTATGTAAGTCAATTTGCAAAACCACGTACAGTTTTTGGTTGGTTTTTTTTTTTTTTTTTTTGTTTTTTAAATTTTTTTTTTTTTTTTTTTTTTTTTTTTTTTTTTTTTTTTGGTAGGATCTGGCACACTACATATGCCATAACTATAGGGTATAAACAGTCACAATGTTTATTGGTGTTCACATATGTAATGTTAGGGAAACTACTTCCATCGTCTTTTCTTTACAATTCTGTAAATGATCCATACCCTGTATATGTTAATTCTAAAAAGCCTTAATCCTTCAACTGTTGAGTGTGGGGTGTGTAGTCCAACAGGCTGCCTGTAAACTGTGAGCTCTTTTGTAAGCTGGAAGTACTTATCTTGTTACTGTTACTTTTTTGTAGGAACCTTTTAATTGAGAGCTGCCAAAGCATTACAATATGCAGTGCCTTAGCATTATATTAGAAGTACCTTTTAGCCTCTGAAGATTAAATTTTATATGTTGTTTTCTTAATTGGTTCCATTTTTAATAAAATATCCGTATTTTTCCCTGCAGAAACACTCTTTGACTGCTTGGTCTAAACCAGCTGTCTGTACAAGTCAGTCCCATTGCAGTGAGATGCCTATACCAAAAGGAAAGGTTACAGATCCCTAGTTCTCTGTGAAAAGTGAATTGTATTAATGAATGCTGCCTTTTTAAATTTCATGACCAAATAATTAATTGTGACTCTTCTGCACTCTAGCATGAAAGTGCCTTTGGTTTGAAATTCCAGCTTAGAAAAGTGCTGCCATAATAATGACAATTTGTAGAGAGACCAAAAATATTTAGTTATCACCGTAATGCCTTTGGTTTATTGGAATAAGTTGAATCTACAGGCCTCCATTCACAAAAGAGCACCATTCATAGCAAAGGGATTTTGCTAATGATCAGCCTGCTGAAGAAAAATCTACTGTTTGCCATTTCTGACAGCATTGCAAACCAGCAACTGATTTGTCTGTGATATAAAAATGAAAATATTCCCATTTATATTCTCTTCATCCAGTCACGCATCTGCATAATGAGAGATCCGTATCCTACAGAATTTCAGTGGACTAGCATGGCTTCATCAGTCTCCTCTAATAATATTTTGGTATCTGTGGAGATTCTTTGCTTAGGCAGAAGATTTTGTTTACAAAGTTGTGCGTGCTGAAGGTCGGATGCATAGAACAAGAGGAGCATGGAAAACTGAGCATAGTGAGGGTAAATGCAATCATGTGGGTTTAAGCACTGGAGTGTTGAGTGTGAGCGTTGTGGATGAAGGTGCTGCTGGGGAAACTCTGGCCAGCACGACTCAAAACACAGGGTTGTTTTGTTTTCCTCCCAGGTGATGTCTTGGGGGAAAAAAAAGAAAAAATTAGCTCCTCTTAATAATGTGTCTGGTTTTGATACCTTCTGTGAACAGGGTCATACTCTCCACCACAACTGAAATCAATGGGAAGAGGAGCAACATTTTAGAAAGAACAAATATCAGCAAAACCAAAAGCTGTCAGAGGGATTATATAGTTGTGAATACAATGTTAACTTGATTTTTAAAGTATTTGATGAAAACTAAGAGTAACTTTTTATATAGAGAAATATTGTGACACTGTGTGGTAAATATTGTGATAATTCAAATTCCCTTTCTCTAAAAATATTATTTTTGTTATTCCTTCAAGGTCTAAATCTCACTTACCTCTATAAGACAAGTAATCCTGTTGATGAGACTGAGGGAGGGCAAAGACACTTCTGGCCCACAAGCAGAACATACTTTTTCAGTTATTGCCAAACATTTTGGCTGTACTAGTCAATGTTTGTGACAAGCTATACCTCTGTCTCATTCAAACAAGCGTAATGGTACCATTTGGGGCTGTTAAAAATCACTACTAACAAATGTAGTTTTACTTACTTGAATTCCAAACTGATTTTGTTTAGGTACTGCACCACTATTTTGAAGGAATCGCAGATCCAATGCCTGTTTCTCTCTTTCCCTCTCCACCACAGCTACAGCTCAGCTTGGCAGTGGCTTGTCCCGTGGCTTCCCACGGGATGGGCTGTTGGGAATAATGAAGGGTGTACATTAATGTTGAATGTAAGTAACTGGCCAGTCCGAGGCAGATACGACATTTGATGTGCTAATCCATATCTATTTATTTTTCCACTGCGAGTCCCGGGGCACGCCTGCTGCCTGCAGCAGTGCCCTGGGAGTTTCCTGGAGCCCTCAGTCAGTCACACTGAGAGCCCTGATGTTGTCCCCCCTCTCCTTTTCCCACGAGGATACATGTGCCCGGGCACAGGCGGACGTGAGGAGTCAAGCCCGGCTTTGTCCTTTGCTCAGGATAATCTCCTTTCCCCCTCTTACCTTTCATAACCAGATGTTTAGCCCCCCCCAAGAAAGATTGAGGCTGGATAAGTCAAAGTACAAGAAACACTCTGGACATCTTCATCTTTTAACTTTTCAGGTCATTCTTGCTGAGATCATGTAATTAGTTTTAGTGTGTAAATTAAATCTTAAATGCACTCAGTTGACTAAAAGGAGATGGATCCCTGTTACCTCCTTACAGAATATGTGTTTTTGTTTTTGTTTTGTTTTGTTTTGTTTATGGGCCTCTGATTCAGGCTCATGACTGCAGACAAAAAATACAATATGTGCCTGAAAAAAAAAAAAAAGACAAAAGAATTTTATAACATTGAAAACCTGAATAGCCTTTAATTCTTCAGTACATTTTATGTAAAACAGGTTGGGTTTTTGTTTTGTTTTGGGGTTTTTTTGCCATGTGCATTTGTTCACATTTGTAAATGACTTAATGGAATTCTCACTTTATGTTTATTTGTGTAATGTGTATAAAATGGGTTTGTGACTTAAGCATATTCATATATGGTCAGTGGTTACTTTAATATTGTACTGCTGCTGGTAACTTTTGATGTAGAACTTGCCTTTTGATGATAAAGTACCTCTAGGTTAGACAGTGAGGGAAGGCTTTTGGGAAAAACTGAATGTTCTCCAATGTTTTCTTCACATATTTGCAGAAGCTTTCAAAAGGAGTTTCAGTCAAACCTCTTGGCAGTACAGTATTCTTGTATTTGTTATTGTCTGTGTGTAGGTACTGGTACCTTTTTTTTTGTTTAAAATGTTTTAAGTGTTGGCTTTAAAGTGAATTTATCTTTAGTATGATAGTAATATGAAAATTATAGGTTTTGTGTGCAGAGAATTTTTTTATAAAGTGCTTTGTAAAAAAAAAAAAATGTATTCTAGCTTTCGCGGTACATATGTGTGATAACTTTAATATCCATGACAGTTAAGTGCAATTATTTCATCACTCTAAAAATGCTATTTTTGTGTCGGTTACTGCAGGTGTTTTCATGTCTTTGCAAAGTGACACATTTTGATGCCTTCTTGATAAAGTGGTAGAATTTTTGTAGCTTTCTAGAAACTTTGTATTCATACAGTATCAATTGAAAATAAAGAAAATGAAAGT